TCTGGGAGAAACTTTAATTGTTTCATTGTTATTCCAGAGAGGCCAGGGCACATTGCGCATTCTTCCAATAACCTGAACTCATCTCCTAGTAATGTAATAGGTCTAGTAAGAGCGGGTGGGTAGCTTCAAGAGTTAAGTATCGATGGAAAAGGTAGTGTAGTAGATCATCCAAGTTCTCTCTTCTACCATTCATTTACCAACTGATAATGAGTTATTGTTAAATTGACGACGGTTATTGTGGGAGAGAATTTTCTGCCCATACATCACCCATCAAATTAGCCAGGTTCCTGAGATCGTCAAAGTTTAATTTCAACACTTCATCATCCTCATCAGTAGAATGAATGACTAGGTAAGTAAGAAGCCTTGTGCTTTGCCCCTAAAATTGTCGGATCTACTCCAAAAATTTTGCTGGTTTCACGTTTGTAACTGATTAGCTGGAAGACTAGCATTTTCAAAAGTCCCGTATTTTGATATTCATCATGTTGCATTAATTCTTGCCTTAATCGTTGCAGTGAAACTGCTGGTGGTTGTGTCAGCGTTTAAGATGCCTACGAACATCTGCCTTGATAATTACTTAAATTTGTCTCTAATTTTCCCTAGTAGTTATATTGTTGGTAAAATTCTTTGTGTAAGCTAATTGGACAAGTATGCATTAGTAGCTTCAATTATTTCAATTATCAGGGACCTGAATGCATCATCAATTGCATGGAAGGTAGGATATTCCAATGACACAATTACATCGTCACCCAGAAATCCCTGAGGGGTCAAATCCTAGGGTGTTAAGATTGGGGTTTAGGAGAGGTACAGGTTATTCAAAATGGAGAAGTTTGTTAGTTGTTTATGATAACAGGGATATGGCCAGATCCTACATTTCCACCAGTAATAAACGACAGTGAAAGATGTCACAGTTTCTCTGGTTTGTCATGTACTAAATCTGGTGTCCCTGATGAAGGTCCAATTACGATTTAAAGAACGGTCCTTGAAATGACAAGTTTCTAGCTTCATGATAATAAAGAGTTGTTTTCCTTTTAAGTCACCCAGTGGAAAAACCTTCTCCAACAGTGAAGAGGGCTAGAATTGTTGGAATATTTCTGCTAAACATCCTATGTAGATGAATTGACGCTATAAAATTGGTATGTTCTCGGCGGGGAAAATATCCATCCTATCATAGTTGTCCATGAGACTTGTCAATTCCTATTGCAAGAATGTTATCCTTCTCAACATGAATATTTTTAAATGTAAGGCCTAATTTAACAAGATGGGCTACACCACTAAAGGGTCCTCTCGAATTTCTCCACAGTACAGTAACCAGTAATTAATAAGATATCAACTCTTGCGCGTCCCTCGTTCAAAAGAATTAAAATCGGGATTGGTAAATTGTAGTAGTTCAAAAACCTCAAGAAGGTAATGGTATATTAAAGAAATGTACCATTACGGTTGGCAAATGTAATCCCCCATTATTTCTTGCACTTCTTCGCTCGTGTACTGCGGTCAGAACGCCACAAGTAGTGTCATGGTGGTGCCACACTATTCCTCTGCAGTACTCTCAAGGGAGTAGGGAACTTCTGCGTAGTTCTTGTGTATAAAAATGCCATCATCTTCACTATAGGTGGAATATTAGAACAATTCATTATAATCGTTAGTCGTATCATTAGAAAACGGAGTAATGATAGTCCCCATTTACTGACCGAGATGCTTCTTGAGAGTTAAAATGGAGACTGTGAGGCTCCAAGGGAAAATTAGGTAGGCAAGGTGAGTTATCCTGGGAAAGTTCCTGTTCAACAGGATCAGCTTCAATAGCGGGAGAGTAGGCACCAATTTCTGGGGCATTGTTATGTTCAGGTGTTGATTTATCGGGTTGAGGGGAGTTGACAACCTGGGTATACGAGGTGAGCGATCCCTGGGCCAGGGATGACTTAGGCTTATTTTTAGATGTAGAGTAGGGTTCATACTTCTTTTTTATGAGAAGGCTGGGTCATAATAGCCTTACATTTTCTGGGATAGTGATGGGAGTGATTCCATTAGCCATTAACAGATCATTTAAAACCTGAGAGCAGAGTTGAATGTCCCCACCTGCTATGTCTTTGGCCATCATATACATTAGTTGTGCTCTCGTCATATCCCCGGCTGTGGATACCTGAGACATAGATGATACTGAACCTTGTTGTTGCGTTTGTGTATGTTGTAGGTGAGGGTTAGATTGGGGCGCTCCAAGAGGGGCAGAATTCCAAACATTGGAACCATTGGTAGAGACCTGAGGAGTCCCACTTGATCCAGGCAGAGCTGGGAAGGAAGTTTGGGACATCGTTGGTGGTGCCGGGGGAGTGGTCTTCTTTGAAGTGGACAGTTTCTTTGGCTTCAATAATTTCTTCTTATCCCTGTTTTTTGACTAGTCACTCGGGATGTCTCATGAATTCTCTCCAGTGAACTCATCATTTTGTTTATGTATGATGGAACACTAGATGGCATTGCCGAATCACTGCTAGAGCACATACGCAAAAATAAAATGTTTGTAGAGAATCTAGAAATACTTAGTAAACCCCTCCAAATGTGATGTTGTGTCTTATAACCCACAGTCTTGCAAACACTTGGTGCTGCTTTCGGTTTTAATTCCATCAACCTTAGGAGAAGGTGAGAAATGCTTCCTTAACTGAGCTCCTGGCTCATTGACA